GGGGGGGGGGGGGGGAAGGTGCAACCTAAATATCCACGAGATGTTTTTATGCCACTCGTAGCACTGTTGTTGTACACAGTTTTTGTCTAGTAGTGTAGTAGGTCCATGGTGATAAATAGGTATAAATATGAGATGCTAAAATCGGACGATTTTATTTTCGTGTTTCAGGTCCGACGACGTCGCAGTTGTGTCGCCGGTGATGGACTGCAAGACGGTGGTCAACAGCATTTACCCCTAACGTCGTCCGCCGCACTGGTCGCAGCAGACTTTGCTAGCGAATAAATAAAAGTCTTCCACAGCGAGGAGACATCTGCAGTAGCTGCAGTTCGGACAAAACGCTCAATTTGAGTGATAAGCAATACACCTGTACGACCGTTGGTCGGCTGCCCGAGACGGCGACCGAGTTGGACGGACCTGCCGCCGAACGGTCGCGCTTGAAAACGCGACTACCGCAGTTTAAACGGCAATAAAAATAATAATAAGAATGATAATTAGCAATATTATAGTGATAACGGAACGTTTGAGTTGAATTTTTTAAATTTATTTTTCCCGAACGAACGAACGAAAAGCAATAATACATTAGGAATATTATAATCTAGTATAGTGTACCTACATTAGTATAATAATCAATAATATATAGACGGCATCTGCAGAGCGATATTCGACTAGTGCTCAAGACAGTCCAGATCTGTTTTTTTTTTCCAAAAAATATTTATATATAATATTTGGGAATTATTTTTCTCACCACTCATCCTAACGACGGTCATACCCCGTCACCATGCCCCGATACTACGCGGTGAAGAAACTAGGACCAAAGCTGATGTTACACCAGCAACAGCAGAACCAGCACCAGCAACAGCAGCAGCAACAGCAGCAACAGATAATAATTCTACAACAGCAACAGCACCAGGACGAGCTGGAGGACGACGAGTGCTGCAGTTCCCGATCCGGTACCGAGTCCCCGCCACCGTTCACCGATCCCACATCGGTGAAACTCTACAAGCCTCTGGAATCCGTCACCATGTCCAAACACAAAGGTAAGAATTTGCTGTATGATATTATATATATGGAAAGGAATCATCTCCTTCCTGCCCACCTAATAATATTGAATATTAATTTAACCGTATTTTATTGAAAAAACACTTAACTGAAAATAATAAGTTAGCATACTCAGAGGTCACCGACTAACGTTTTTTAAAATCTACCAAAATTGCAGACTACGGTAAAAACTAATGAGCAGAATGATAAATGACAAAGCTAGGATCCATAATATTAACGGTTTTCACTCTAAGAATTCGGTGACCCCTGGCAAGTCCTAACTTGAAAATATGAAGTCATGAGTTGAGCGATTCTACGGATGAGATTAGGTACGCAATCGTTATTTTGTCAAAACCACCTCGTCGTTTGAATTCGTATTATTTATTGACGGTTAGGGGGCCTTTCAACTGTGACATTATTATTTTTAGCACAAGTCGACCGGCAGAGATTCATATAGATAGTCGTATTAAAATATGTGATCCTGTTTGTATTTCATTTATATAATCGGTAATCGATTTCGAGATCGGTGCAATAATATTTACGCCAGAAAACGACGACTTACAGCTGCAATAATATTTACATTTGGACTTTTGCGTACGATTGTCGGTATGATATAGGATCATTTCTACTCCTGGTTTCTATATTTGTCAATTTGTTTTTAGTTTCTAGGTTGAGATATTGGCTGCAGTTAGGGATGGTTGTTGAAGCCTTTATATGTTTGTCAGTAGTTATTATAGTTTGTCGTGTTTGTCAAGTCGTTTGTGGGTTTACAATCCTTTGTTGGGTTTAGATATTTTCTAAGGTCTACCAATTCATATTAAAAATGAGATTTAACAACTGTGGTTCGGTATATTTTTTATATAGCACTACAAATATTCAAAATATGCAATTAAAATTACCAAGTAATGATCTTAAATATGCAGCTATTTTTTTTTTATATAAAGAAATAATTACTATTTAGGGTTCAAAACATTTTTGAAATATGCATGCGAATATGCAATTAAAATAACCGAAAACGCTTTAAAATATGCAATTTCAATGAAATTATGGGGGAAGAAAACTGTATGTTATGTATTTGAAAATATAATATTAATAATTCTTTAAAATTTGCCGAACATCCCTGTTTTTGTAAAATATAACAAAATACCAAATAAATGTAAAAAGCCAAACGTATATTATTTGATTTTGTCGTTTATTTTATCAAGAATATTGCACAACAACAGTTACATATAATATAATGCAAATGCAATAAGTTAAATTATTCAAATTTCCGTTAATATAATATTACTATGGATCAAGCCGTTCAAAGAATAACATGTTGTTTGATAACCAAACAATAAGTGATTGTGCTTGATATATGGATACCTGGCGAAGTCGTAATCAAACAAGTTGGGTACATTAATTGCGAATAAAAACAAATTTACGTAAATTGTGTAGATAGTTTTTTATCAGGTATTTTTTTTTGCCCTTCTCAAAATTGAGCGACTCTTTATTAATCATTTCAAATATTTTTACTGGAATAAAGGCTTCTATTTAAGTACTAATACGTGGAAAATTATATGCTCGACGAAATTAAGCTTAGAAGGACGGTAGAAACTAGAACCCCCTAAAGACCTTGATGTTCAGAAGAAGTATTTTTTTTTACCTTTCATAAAAGGACCTTTATTTTCAATATTTCTCGTGGAATAACAGCGTCTATTATTAGGTACTAATGTACAGTTTACTATGTAGCGTATGCGCATTGTATTAATAGATTTTTAAAGTTTTCCTTTGAAAAATATTGTTCGGGTAGTACTATTCTAATGGGTAAAACAAATATTCGCTTGTATACATTTAATAATAATTTTTAAAAGAAATTCAATTAAACATAATAATATAATATATCGTACTTCATTTTAATATTTTAAAAACAAATTTACTACACCAACTATAAATTATCAATTTACTGAACTTCTCGTCAACTTGACAAATATATACCGGTAAATTCAAAATAGGTACTACTATATGGCTTCGGTTGTTTGGGCTAGTAGAATAATAATAGCAAATAGTCACGTGGAAATCGTGATCGCGGATTGTAGGCCGGGTTAGTCATCGAAGCGAAATACCGAACGACGTGTACCGTGAAAGTGGTGTAGCAAAATTGCATACTCGGAGCGCCGCGTTGAACTTTTCCCACTAATGCATTATTGTTGTCACATTGTCATTTGTCGGTGACCCGATTGATTTGCGAACGCTTACGATAATATACCGTTAAGCGTATTAGCCAAGCTTAGTCTTTTACGATTATGATTTTTGAACATCTAAAAGTTGTACAATGATACAGATTCCCCGATGTTGATACGTAATATTATAGCGAAAAACTGTTACAGTAGCGACGTCGTAGTTCGTTTTCATCGGCAGTTACTGACGGGCGAAACGTGGTTTGAAAAAAATCAACTCTACGTAGCGATTGTTATGCTATTCTGAATTGATTAATAATTAATAATAATAATGTATTTGTTGCCCCGAACGCAAATAATGGGTTGAATACATAATATTAAAATCATAGACAAAATAACTTAAATAGCAATACAAATTTCATATTTACTATTGAGTGAAAACAATAAACTTTAACATAATTGATTTCAGATGGTTAATGTAGTTTAATATTGTGGTAGAATAAATTAAAACCTTTAATATCATCACAGTTCTGTAACATATTATAAATTATTATTATTATAATATTGTTACATAGCCATGTGTTCGAGCGTAATGAACAAAATTGAGCACTAACTAGTTAAACAAGTTAAAGTTAAGGTAGAATGTTACCTGCAGATCTGACCTAAGTTATAGGTAGATATCGAGACATCGAGTAATTAACTTATGTGATCCCTCACAAATTTTGAACAAGTAATTTTTAATTTTATATTTTAAACTATGAGTTCTTCTAACTTTTACTCTGGCTTAAGTTTTTACTTTTAACTTCTATTCTAACTTTGTTGGTTTTTGTATTAAAGTAACTTGACTTTAACATGTCGAAAAAAAATGATCAACTAGCCTATAGCTTTGTAATAATGAATGACACAACCAATACACATCGTCGGTCGTGACATCCTCTACAGTTGTTGTGTAGAAGTGACATTAAATTCGTAATACTCGCAGTACACGATCATGATGTCGTTATTGAATTCGGTCATGATTTTTTATGATTATTATTATTTTTATTTACATTGCAAAAACACGCAGACATGGTTAAACGCCCCGCGAAGACGATAAGAGCTCAATGAATATTCTATCGCGTCATAAAGCATTATCGTTTCCGCGTGTACGATCGTATCGCGACGTTATTGCCTCTGATAATAATATTTACTCGACAGAAAAATTGTACTCGTTAAAGCGACGAAAAAAATTCAAAAAGGTACACGATAACTCGAACGCGGTTGCGTCGGGTCGTGGATCGAACTGCCCTCATTCCTGTTGCGCCCTTCTTCCGGTGAATGCAAAATGTGATTGATATTATAGGCACTAAGACGATAGATTGTCACGGACGATTGGTATGGATTTTATGTTTTATCGATTTCAGGTTTCATTTGCAAAATATGTCATTTGTCACTCGTCATGTAGACAGTAATTATTATTTTTATTTTCTACCATTTCATTGATATCATTAACCGTTATTGGACGCAAACTATTGTTTTTTTATAAATAGCGCTCACAGCTTTTGATGTTCGTTCTTACGAATTTTTTAATTCGATTTTAATGACGTCAACCCATATCGGTCGTGGTTTTTGGGATTTCGTAGTTTCTTTTAGCGATCAAATTGTTCCTCCTCCCCCCCCCCCCCACCCCCGTGATAGTACTCGTAGTATTCAATGGTTTTCGTGTCCAGGAGCATAGCCTTAGTTGGCGTAATAACGATCGATCTGGTAACGTATTTATATTCAGTCTCCGAAGGATATTACTGTACGTTTTCGGATAACAATACAGTACAGTGTACGCCGGAGTGGGTCGTTAAAACCACGTTTTGCGCAATCCTTTAATACGGTATACGTGACTACAACTCACTCAAGGTACGAGTCAACACCGCGGCCCGCCGGCACGCGACCGACTGCAGACGGCGTTATGATGTCATTCTCACGGAAAATATTTAACGCGATGAACAGTATACATTCCTTGTTAATCCGTAAAAAATTATAGCGCTCTCGGTTCCGTCGTCGCAACACTACCTACAGCGGTGACGGCCGCCAAATAATATTTTAACATCGTAAAAACTTTAGTCACGTACAAATCTAGATCCGTGACGTTTGGACCGTTCTCGATAACGCGTGTTCGATAGCTGAACAATAAACAGATGTACCGCAGTTTTTGTATTAAAATCTTATCTATATATTATAATAGTAGTCCTGCCGTCTTATCGTTAAGACTTTATCATGCCTCCTTGTGAGAGAGATAAATGCAACACAAATTATGAATATAATACACAAGAGACTACTCCGAGTACAATGGAATTCCGTTAAACGCACGGGAAACTCACAATCTCGGTTGATGCACTCGCACTCAACGGTGCACGCGCACTTGGCGATGTACTCGACGATGCACTCGCACTCGATGATGCACCCTCACGCTCGATGGTGCACTTTCAAGCTTGGCGTATGCTCATGAGCAATATCCTCTTCGCAATCGGACTCGCAACTTGCAAGCTGAGTTCACACTCGAGATTGCCTTCGGTATGTACATAAGTGGTATAGCGACTGCAACATGTCGTTGACGAAATTGTGACAGGTGGTGCTCTCGAAGGGATTCTGAAGCTTCTGAAGACCACCTCTCTATTAAGAGGAATGTAAAATTTCCAGCCATCCGTCGTTTTCAGTTGCAAGGTAGACAACGACACATTTAACTTTGAAGTGGAAACCATAAGATATGTGCTGCAATGCCTACTATTGACTATCAAATGACAAAATAATTGTATTCCTGTGTTCGTCAAATGAGCCCTTACTCGCATTTTATTTGAAATAAAATA